TATGAGAAGCTTCCAGTAACCTGCTCCTGATCTAAATATCTGAGAAGGGCCAAACTTTATACACACACATTCTCGGGGTTGAGGCCATCCCTTTGGAGTTGGCCGAGGGCTGCTCTCCACCTGAGAAGATCCCACTACCACAGGCTCATGTGCACCAGGCAGAGTGGAAACCCCCTCTTTCTTTTCCCAGGCTGGTGTAGCTCTCTCCCATCCCTGCTTCCCCCTCACAGGGTCAAAAGTTTTTAAGAACAAAAATGCCCCCAATGTTTAATGTTTTAGTGTTTAATGTTTCTCTCAACAAAGCTGAGGATTCTGGGAAAAATTTGGGGGTATAATTGCCCTAAACATCCCCCTTCCCACCCATCTAGGGTTTCCCAACCTTGGCAATTGTTGACATTTGGGGCCTATAATTTTTTTGTTGTGGGGATTGTCCTGGGCATTGTAGGGCGTATAGCAGAATCCTTGGTCTCCACCCATCAGATGCCAGTAGCAACATCAGTCAGGACCATGAAAATGTCTCCAGACACTGCCAACTGTCCTGTGGGCAGGTGGCAAAATCACCCTGTTGAGAATCACTGTTCTACCCTTAGGACCTCTTTCAGCCTTGCCCCTAGCTTGGGAAGAGATGCTTTTGTTCTTGTGTTCCATCCAGTCAGGGGGCACAGGAGCTGCACCAAAGCTAAGCTGGTCACACAATAAACTGAAAAAACAAACCCATTGCCACTTAGTCCATTCTGACCCACAGGGATCCTATGATGTCAAATATCTTTACAAGTCTTTTCTCCCACTGAGCCACAGGTGGGTTCAAACCAATGACCTTCTAGTTAGCACCTGAGCACTTAACCCCTGGGCCACCTTGATCATACAATAGATGGACATTTCTAATGTGGCCAACTGGCTGTCTGGATCACATGACAGTGGCTAATAATTAGGATCAGGAGGCATTATCCAGAGAGGTTATGGGGTCCCCTTGACCCCATAGTCATCTTGGGGTCCACAGTTTACTCATTTATGTCTAATCATAGACAATGTTGAAGTTCTAAAAAAGTCTGGATAAGTTTATCAACTCCAGTCCCCTTTATCCTGCAGATGATGGCATGTGGAAAGAGTATGTGACTTGTCCCCCCTCAAGTTGGAGTTAAACCTAACCTGAGACATGATTTTACCCACCTGAAATAGCCTATTTTCTCTTGATGGGGATGGAGGGTATGCAGGCAAGGATTGTAAGCTGCAGAAGACGTTTCCAGCAGTATACAAATAATAAGGTCCAAAGCAAGTTCTTGGCAAAAACTTACAACAAACCAATGAAAATACCTGACATCTAATTCCATCCCAAACCTCCTTCCCTGTCCCTAACCTTCCAGAACTCGGGCAGGCCTAAGATCGCGGGCCCTCTGGCCCTACCAGACCAGCATGTGCCCCCGTATCTGAGCCTTGCCTCCTCCTGGCTCTTCACTGGGCAGGGGAGTGTCATGAGAGCCCCTTCCTCTCACTGCCACCTCCTCTATACTAGCCCTTAGGCCTTCCCATGTTGCCTTCTGGCTGGAACTCGATTCTGCCACCTAGTATTCCTCCAAAAATGAATTCAATTGGAAAGCATTAATGTGCTGGTCCCAGAGGTGGGCAATCACTTAGGGAGATAATTTTATTCTCCTCTGTCTCCCTGGCCTCGTGAAACACCCCTCCCTCTGAACACCATGCAGATAATGAGGGAAGAACACACACTCCTACCCCTGACCTAACTGATTACCCCACACACCTTGGAGTGTTTGGCATAACCAGCCCTGACAGTAGCCACCCCTTCCAGGCAGAGTGATTGACATATTTTATTTCTAATTGAAGTTTGGGAGCTCTGGTAGCATAGTGGCTAAGACACTTGCCTGCTAACCAGACGGCTGGTGGTTCAAACCCACCAGCCACTCCTCGGAAGGAAGGTTGGGCAATCCTACTTCCGTAGTGATACTGCCTTGGAAACCCAAGGAGGGGTCGCTATGAGTCGGGATCGACTCTATGGCACATAACAACAACAACAACAACAATTGAAGTTTAATCAGGACCAGGCATGAGATTCCCATAGTTATTCTCTCTTGGTTTCCCTTTTAAATTTTAGGACCCAGCAATGAAAGATGGACAGTTTCTGGGATCCTTGAGAGGAGGGAGATTAGGGGAGAGGTGGGGAGGTGGTCCTAGAAAGAGGATGAAGAAATGAAATTGAAATGAGAGGGGTAGGGAGCGGTCTCCTCTTCCATTTTTTAGCTGAGAAGCCAATGAGATTCTTTTTCTGTTTTAATTACATCTCATTGGGGTCAGCTTGGGGCTCTGAGTGCTTGTGCTCTGTGGGGTGAGAAAAGTTACGGATCTACCTGAGCCATTCTGCCATTCCCCCCAACTCTCCCCTGGCACCTGCGAGAGCTGCTCTTTCCCATCCCTGGGTGATGGTCTCATCCCAGAACCATTATCTGTGGAATGTGACGGGCTGAAAAGCTGGAAATCTCAGGGCTTTGACTGTGGAGAGAGCCAGAAGCAGGCAGACCTTTGGAAGCTCCCTGTGGCCTCTCCACCCTGTCTCCTTTGAACACATCCATTTTCTCCTCCTGGGTGGATGTTCAGCATGGAGAGTCTGCCAACTCTACAATGGCCTGGTCTTCGCAGCCCCCTCTCCCTGCTCCTGGGGTATGACTGGGGTTGCAGAGGTGCTGGGAAGCCTAAAGGCAGACACCCCACTGAGACTTGGCTATGGGAGGGGTGGCAGTTCTTACTGTGGGGTGAGTGGGGTCCAGAGTAGGAGGTGTTTATACACCCACTACCACGGGTCAGCACTGGGTATGTTTTCTTTCATCCTCACAACCACCCTGCAAATGAGGTGTCATTATTCCTATTTTGCAGACAAGGAATTAAGAGCATAGAGAAGGTAATGATATGGCCCGCTTCACAGAAGGTAGACAGGGAGGGAGCTAAGTCTGTACAATGGTTAAGCTTGTAATGCTAGCGTTGAGGGTGTCAGCAGTGTTACCCAGAGGTCTCCACTCTGGCCCTGGTCCTGGGGACTTGCCTCCCGGAGGTTCAAGTCAGATAGTTAAGTCCTTCCATTGCTCCATGTCTAGGGTGAGGGACACTAACTGCAGGGTCAGAGCGGAGGGAACCTCAGTACAGATCTTTGGCTTGGGAAGGAGCCCAAACCCCAGGGACACAGAAAACAGAGCGGGGGTGGGGGTGGAAGAAGAGGAAGCCCAGGAGAGGCCTCTGGGAAGGGTCTGGAGAGGCAGCCCCACCTGGCAACGTCTTGGCCTGGTGTCTGCCTCTGCTGCCCCAGTTTTCTGTGCACCCTAGAGACCACAGACTGACACACCACACCCCCATTTACCCTCCAGCTACCACCGCACACTGTGCCCCCAGCCTGGGCAGAGGGCAGAGCTGCCACCACCAGTCATCCTAGGGTAGAGGCTCAGGCAGTTGTGCCTACATGGCCTAGTCCTTCCCCGACTCACCTCTGCTTCGCCGAGCCTCAAAAAGGTGGACAATATTATGCTCACTCAGGTGTGAGAGCTCTTTGCAAACCTCCAGGAACCGCAAGATTGTCATACGTCCTATTATGAGGGCGAGCCAAACACCCCACTTATGGCTGCCTGGTAATTTACTAACTAAATGGGAGGAAGGAAGGCTTCCCACACCCCCACGCACACACTTCCTAACCCGGAGGCATAACCCTTTCCGCGTTCCCTACAAACTTCTTCAAGTCCAAGAGGAAAAGCAGGGCACGGAGAGGGTGCAAGGTCCGGCCTGGCTGGAGAGGCCGCGGAGGCGAGGTACGCAGTGGCCTTTCTGTCCTGTAGAGGGAGCTCCAGCTCCAAACTTCCCGGCTCCCTCCACGGCCTGTCTACCTCAGGCCGGCTGGGAGCCGGAGCCCTGCTCTCCCGCAGCTTCCTGGCCTCCGCCCCGGCCCTCAGAAAGCTGCCCTTTCTAGGGCACTGGGGACCAGCCGCTGGGGTGCGAAGATGCGCCGACGCCGTCAGGACCTGGAGCCTCAGTCACCCGGACCCACAATCACCAAGGGGAAAGCTGTGCACCCCTGGCCTTCTGCTGCTTCATGGCTCCCATCACTCCGCACCCTTAGAAGCAGCGCTTCTGTAAGGAGGGGTCTGGTGTTGCAATGTGGTTGGAAGCGGGGTTTGGAGCTGGGCTGGCAATGCCCTTACAAGCCCGAGAAAGGCTCAGTTGTTCCTATCAAAGAGTGGGGGAGGGGTGGCTGGGCTGCAAGTGAGGAGAGTGTCTCCCAAACCTAACCCCTCTGCGAATAGACCCTTCTCTAGGTCCTTGACAATGTCACCAGAGCCCCGCGGTTGCTCCCGTGGACCGACTGGTCAGGCCCAGTTTCCCAATTCCTAGTCGGGAATCTTGCTCCGGTTTCCCACCTGGCTCCTTGCCCATTCTCTTGGGAGCCCCAGGTATACTTCTCCAACCTCTTCTGAGGCGGCCCCAGCCCGCCACTTCTGTGCCACCTCCTTCAGTCCGGACTAGTGTCTCTCGTCCTTTTCCGCTGATCCAGGCGACTCTTTAAACTTGGGGGAGGGAAAGTACAAAAAAAAAAAAAAAAAACCCACCAAACAGATCCGTGGAAGGCCACACAGGAGGGTTATAGTCAAATGGCAACAGCTCATTTATTTAGCCAAAAATAGATACTTTCTTGTACAATTTGGTTCACATATATGTACATTTTTCTGTATATACAAAAAAAAAAGTCAGACACGCTTATTCTTACTGAAACTCAACCACCCGCCCCCCAAATCAACCAAACAAATCTCACAAACTCAGCTAATCTGGGGTACAGAATCGACCTGGGAGAGCTGGGGGGGCACTTGTTTTATTTCTTTTTGTTTTGTTTTGTTTCCGTTGTAGGTAATCATACACGGACATGCTTACAAGTAACTATACAGAGAGATTTTCTTTTTCTTTTTTTTTACAATTATTACAACAATTATTATTATTATTATTATTAAGAACTAGGATGAGGAGAGAGCCGATAAGACCAGAGCGGCGTCCAGGTGGTTCTGGGGCCTGGAAGAGAGAGACAGAGGTAGCAAAGGACGCGAGGCTTGGGGCCCTGAGACTTCTTGGGGTGGGGACACCCTACCAGGGGCCAGACTGGGGGCAGAGAGGAGTCTCAATGCAAAATTATGTCCCCCTGTAGATATGTGTTTGGGTTTAACTATAAGATGGGCAACAGTCGTCAGGATTCAAGGTCTGGGAATGGAATGAGGTGGTGTCACAGTGCTGCCGGCCAGGGTCGATTGGCCCAGTTCCCCCAAAGTGCTTTCCGCGGGCGGTGAGCTGTCTTCAGGCCCATTCGGGCGACACTAAAGTATATTTCATCCCTTTTTAAAAAGTCGTCCCAGCAGCCCTGGGGCAAAAGCTTACGTCCCTCATTCTTTTCTTTCTCTCGCCTACCTCCCCACCATTCCCCCAACCTTGGGTCTCTTACCGCCTGGGCACGGGCTGGAAAGCCGTCTTGAGTAACTTTTTCTCCACTTCCAAGGCACTACAGCGATCTAAGGGAAGTGAGGGGAAAAGGGGGGCCTTTAGAGCGCTCGGTGCGGACGCCCAGGGCCTCGGGGGCAGCCGCGGAGAGAAAGGCGCCCTGCAGGCCTGCCCATCTCCGGGTCCCGGCGGAAACCCCAGCGCCCCCTCCCTCCGCACCCTGATCTGAGCAATCACCTGTTCCGCCCTCGGGCTCCGCGGGCCGGGCAAAGGCGGCGGCGGCCGGGTGGCCCGCGGCTCCGGGAAGTCCCAGCAGGTGCGGAGGGGCAGAGCCGAGCAGGGAGAGCGGGTGCGGGCGTGGGCCCGGCGGCGGGCCTGGGAACGGTCGGTTGGTCCAAGCCGGGAACTTGCCCAGCGGCGCCGAGACGAGTCTGTGAGCCGCGGCGGCGGCGGCGGGAGAGAGCTGCAGGGCGGGGGACGCGACGGCAGCCCCGGGAGGAGAACCGGCCGCGCCCGGAGGCGAGCGGCGAGGGTTGTCCGGGCTTGTGGCCGTCTCTGCCAGAGACCAAATCTTGGGCTTCTGCAGGGAGGAGGCGGCCGCTGGTGCGGGAGCGCAGGGATCCAGGCCGACGGGAGGCGAGGGAGGAGATGGCGGAGCCGCAGCCACTGGCGGTGGCGCTGGGACCAGACTCAGGGCTGGCAGTGGCCGCTCCTCTAAGCCCTCGGAGCTGTCCTCCGAGTCGCTATTCTTCGAGTCCGAAATGGGCCCCAGGCTGAGGTCGCCATTTCTGCGCGCCGCTCCAGCCAGGGCCAGTTCAGGCCCGGCGGCCGCGCCGTCTAAGTTCTCCAGATCAATCTCCTCGTCTTCGTCGTCTTCCGCCAGGCCCTCGCCCCCGGGGTCCTCCTCCTCCCCCCCGAGCTCCTCCTCTTCCAGCTCCAGCTCTCTTTTGCTGTCCTCCTCGTCTTCCTCTTCGTCCTCCTCCTCGCGCTCGCTCCCGTAAGCGTTGCCCTCTTCGTCGGTGCGGCTGCGGGGCGCCCAAGTCATCTTGTTCTCCTTCTTGAGGCGCCGGCGCGCGTTGGCGAACCAGGTGGACACCTGGGTGAGGGTCATCTTGGTGATGATGGCCAGCATGATCTTCTCGCCCTTGGTGGGGTAGGGGTTCTTGCGGTGCTCGTTCAGCCAGGCCTTGAGCGTGCTCGTGCTCTCTCGGGTGGCGTTCTTGGGACGGGACGGGTCTCCGAACTGGTACTGGCCATACGGGTAGAAGGCGGGGTGCGGGTGCGGAAATGCTGTGGCCGCGGCCGGATGCTGCACCCCGGGGCTGTCCTTCAGCTCATATTGCGCGCCCTGTACGCACATGGAGAGGGAAGGGGATACGCGCGGAGGGAGCGCGGGTGAGCCCCAGCCGTCGCCGCCTTTACTTTCCCGGCCCGGCCCCGCTCCACTCCTGCGCACTCCTTTCGCTCAGCATCCGAGCTCGAACCCGCCCCCAACCTCGCCAGCTCCCGGGGCGCTTACCAGCTGCGGGAAGATGGGCAGTTCCGCGGCGTAGGGCAAGAAGGCTCCGTAGCCTTGGGCGGCGGCGGCGGCCGCTGCGGCCGCGGCGTAAGGCGCCCCGTACACGGACGAGAGCACGTTGGACAGGGAC